AATGCGCGCCCAGGGCTTCTCAGGCCGGAACTACAAGCCCCAGCATGCATTGCGAGTCCCCGCGGGGCCGGTACCTAGACCCGTGATCGTCGCTGGAGCTCTAGACATTGCAAATTTCTTAGTTTAGCCTTCACCTCCGTGCTGCTTGACATCCTTCTGCCCTCTGCCATTTTTGAGAATTAGAAAATGCTTTGTAAAATCGCGCAGGACTTTATTTCTGTAGAGCGCTGTGTCACCTCTTGGATGGCAGCACACTGGGTCCCACCTATTCTGGCCTCGAGTGTTTCTTTGGAGTAATGTTCTCAACCCGGGCATTTTTGTCCCACGCTCGTTTGGCAATGTATGAATAATCTCTCTCTCTTTCTTTCTTTCTTTTTTTTTTGGAGGAGGGGCAGGTGGTGGTGTTACTGGTATCTGCTGGATACAGGCTAGCCATGCTGCTAAACACCCTTTATTTCATAGGACAGGTTCCCCCACACACTCCCTGTCCGCCCCCCCCCCCCAAAAAAAATTGTCCAGCCGAAAATGGCAATATTGCAACTGTTGTAAATCTCTGTTTTAGTCAATCACTTTACTCTATGAGTCAGGGTTGCCATTGAAGAGCCAAAAATTAAGTCCTCCATTAAGAGCAACCTCTGGCTGCTCGTAGCCTCAGTCCCAGTTCCAGGAAAAGCCTCAGACTGTTCAAGGCTAAAGCCATCCTCGGACCGCCCTCAGTTCAGCTAATCCCCTCAGTTCAGCTAATCGAAAAGAAAAAAGAAACATTTCTATGGTCTGAGTCAAGGCTGGGAACTGCAGATACAAACTATCCAATTTCTCACCACTTGCCTGAACCCCACCTGGGCTCTTTGAACTCACCTCATAACTGGTCATTTTCAAAGGATTCTCAAAAGTCATGACTGGGTCCCACCAAAAGTAATGAACACCTCACAGATACTGAATGGTCAAAGCTGTAATTGTAATTGGTGCTTATGTGATGATGCTACATGTACTGTAACACCTCCATCCCTTATTCCTTAAAAACCTATTCGCTATTGTTCTTCGCTTCACCAAACTGCCACGACACCACCGGTAGGCAGATGAGCCCCTGCTCGAGCTTGTAATAAAGACCCTTTTGTATTTGCATCGGTGCCGGCTCCTTGGAGGTCTCTGGGACTCACTATTCGGGCACAACACCATTACCTGTAAAAGAATGCAGTTAAGTCTGGAAGAGGTATTCAAATGTCAATGCTCATTGCAGTATTAGCCAAGAGGCGGAAGCAGCCTAAATATTTATCAGTTGATGAATGCATGAAGAAAATGTGGCATATGCACACAATAGAATATTAGTCAGCCCTTAAGAAGAAAAATACTGTCTTTGGCTACAATGGCTACAACGTAGTTGAACCTTGAGGACATTATGCCAAGTGAAATGAGCCAGTCACAAAAAGACAAATGCTGCATGAGTCTGATTATAAGAGGTGTCTAAAGCAGTCAACTCTTAGACACAGAAAGTAGAGTGCTGGTTGCCAGGGACTGGGGAGAGGAGGGAAAAGGGGGAGTATTCAATAGAGATAGTTTCCATTTTGCAAGAGAAAAAAACAAAAAAAGGAATCTGCTGCACAACGTGCTTATAGTTAACAATATGCTTATTGTTATGTGGTAATGTGGTACATTTTAAAATGGTTAAGATGGGAACGCCTGGGTAGCTCACTCAGATAAGCGTCTGACTCTTGATTTCAGCTCAGATCATGACCCACATCGGGCGCTGCGCTGATAGCAGAGCATGCTTGGGATTCTCTCTCTCTTCCTCTCTCTGACCCCCCCCCACTTGTGCTCTCTCTCTCTCTCTTTCTCAAAATAAATAAACTTAAAAAAATGGTTGAGATGGTACATTTTATATGTTTGGACCAAGACTGAAAAAAAAAGAGTTAAGCTGAATCATCTTTTTCCAGTTCCTATGTTTCTGTGGCATTACTTTCTTCTGAACCTTCTTCTGAACTCTTCTTGATGGAATGTACTCCATTACAGTCAGTTCCATCATCTCCTTTCACAGGCGAATAACAATTACCCCCACCCCCAGATGCTTTGTTGGCGCCCACATTTCTCTTACTTTAGCCTCCTTTAGAGATGCCCTACACTTCCAGTGTCAATGTTAAAGCAACCCAAGAGGCATGAACCTGGAAGGAAAGTCTGTGAACCGAGGAGTGAAGTCTTGTTCTGCTCTGCCCAGCCCTAGAGGCCTGTTAACACCCTGGAATGCTGCCCTGTGGATTTCAACCTAGAGAAGAACACCCAGGATAGTACCAGCCGAACCTTACCTCCAAGCTGCCATTTCCCGAACGCCCACTCTGTGGGTGTTTGTTCCTGGCGCTTTTCCATGCATTAGGTCCTCCCAACAAGCTGTAGAATTTTATCTCTCTGTTAACTGATGAAACTAAAGGATAAGTAACCTGTGGAGACACCATAGCAGAAGAACTGGAATCAAACCTTGTGTCTCTCTGGAAGAGTTTATCTCCTCGGTAGGAAAAATTCTTTAAGGGCAGATGTGAGAAAAGAGATTGATTTAAGTGGCTTCAAATCACAGAAAGACTACCCTGCAAAAAATGAATTAGACTTTCTCATTGGCTTTACCTGAATTATCATCCCATATCTCCAGTACTGCATGTCCAAAATAGCAACTTCAGGGGCGGCTGGCTGGCTCAGAGGAACATGTGACTCGATCTCGAGGTCCTGAGTTCAAGCCCCACTTTGGGTGGAGTACAGATTACTTAAATAAATAAAAACAAAACAAAACTGCCCCCACAAAATCGGCTGCCCCTCTTAATTCAATTTAATAACTTTGTGTACGTCTGCTGTGTTCCAGACGCTGTGCTGAAGACACAGCAATGAGCCTCGCAGATATTAAGAGAGTTTCCTAATCACAGGGAATCCACATTTCAGGCCCGGCCTGAAAGTTTCAGCTCTTCAGAGCAGAGAGACAAGTTCTTTGAGTAGTTTTATTCCAGCATCCACTAAGAAAATTTTATTTTTTTCCTTTTTTTAAAATAGTTTATTGTCAAGTTGGTTTCCATATAACACCCCGTGCTCGTCCCCACAATCACTAAGAAAATTTTAAAAACGAGGGGCGCCTGGGTGGCTTAGTCGGTTAAGCGTCCGACTTTCGCTTAGGTCATGATCTCGCGGTTCGTGGGTTTGAGCCCCGCGTCGGGCTCTGTGCTGACTGCCAGCTCAGAGCCTGGAGCCTGTTTCAGTCTGTGACTCCCTCTCTCTCTCTCTGACCCTCCCCTGCTCAAGCTGTCTCTCTCTCTCTCTCCCCTAGAAATAAATAAAAAACATTAAAAAAAAAAAAAGAAATTTTTAAAAACGAGGCAGATGTTTTTTTAAATTGACCTCAAAGCTATTTTCATCATTTAAATGGTTGTAAAGGGTATAGTTTTCTAAAGCTCACGCATCACCCTTTCAAATGTATCTAATGACATCAAAATGCCTTAGCAATTTAGTATCCACTATGATCCATTTGTTTGGTATATCTTTGTTTCTGTTTTGAGGTATAATTGAGAAATAAAAATTATATGTATTTGAGCTGTACAACATGATATTTTGATACATTTACACATTGTGAAATAGTCACAACTAAGCTAATTAACATATGCCTCACCTCACATCGCTATTTTCTTTCTTTCTTTCTCCCTTCTCTCTCTCTCTCTCTCTCTCTCTCTTTCTTTCTTTCTTTCTTTCATGTTGAGGACACTTAAGATCTACTCTCTTAGGAGGCACCTGGATGGCTCAGTTGGTTGAGCGCTCGACTTTGGCTCAGGTCTTGATCTCCCAGTTTGTGAGTTTGAGCCTCACATCAGGCTCTGCTGTCAGCACAGACCCTGCTTCAAATCCTCTGTCCTGCTCTCTGCCCCTCCCCCACCTGTGCCCTCCCAAAAATAAATGAGTATTAAAAAGAAAGATCTACCTTCTTAGCAAATTCCAAGTACACAGTATAGTATTGCTGACTAGATTCCCGTGACCGTACATTAGCTCTCCAGAACTTAATCACCTTGCATGACTGAAACTTTGTGCCCCTTGAATGTCTGACCCCATCTTTCCCCCTCCACGGCCCCTTGGACCCACCAATCTACTTTCTACTTCTATGTGTTTGCCTACTTTAGATTACACATATTAAGAGAGGCCATGCAGTATGTGTCTCTCTGTGTCTTTCTTATTTCATTTAGTGTAATGTCCTCTAGGTTCATTCATGTTGTTAGAAATGCCTGGATTTCTTTCTTTTATAAAGCTAAATCATATTCTAGTCTCTCTATATGCCACATTTTCTTTCTTTTTTTTTTTTTTAATGTTTTTATTTGTTTGCTTGTTTGTTTATGCTCTGTGCCCAATGTGGGGCTTGAACTCACAAACCCAGGATCGAGAGTCCCATGCTGTATGTATGGACTGAGCCATCCAGGTGCCCCCATATATGCCACATTTTCTTTATCCATTCAACCATTAAAAGACATTTAGGTTGTTTCCATATCTTTGCTATTATGAATAAGGCTTCAGTGGACATGGGGGTGCAGATACCTCTGGGATAATAACTTTGTTTCCTTTGGATAGAGACCCACAGTAGGATTGCTGGATCATAAGGTAGACCTAATTTTTTAAGTTTATTTTTTTTATTTTGAGAGAGAGAAAGAGCATGAATGGAGGACGTTTAGCCGACTGAGCCACCCAGGTGCCCCATGTCTCTCTCAAAATAAATAAACTAGCTTTAAGAAAGAAAGAGTCCGGGGTGCCTGGGTGGCTTAGTCGGTTAAGCGTCCGACTTTCGCTTAGGTCATGATCTCACGGTTCGTGGGTTTGAGCCCCGCGTCGGGCTCTGTGCTGACTGCCAGCTCAGAGCCTGTGACTCCCTCTCTCTCTCTGACCTTCCCCTGCTCACGCTGTCTCTCTCTCTGTCTCCTAGAAATAAATAAACATTTAAAAAAGAAAGAAAGAAAGAAAGAAAGAAAGAGTCCCCTGCCACTACCAACATGGAGACTTTGTACCGGGTCCCGTTCTTAGTGCGTGAATGCACCAACCTGAAGCTGAAGAAGCCTCCCTGGGTGCGTATGCCATCAGCCATGATGGTGTACACTCTGGTGGTGGTGTCTTACTTCCTCATTACCAGAGGAATAGTTTATAATGTTATTGTTGAACCTCCAAGTGCTGGCTCTATGACCAATGAACGTGGACATCAGAGACCAGTAGGTTTCTTGGCCTATAGAGCAAATGGACAGTATATTATGGAAAGACTCACATCCAGCTTCCTGTTCACAATGGGAGGTTTAGGTTTCATAATCCTAGACCGGTCGAATGCACCAAACATTCCAAAATGCAATAGATCTCTTCTTCTATTCATTGGATTTGTCTGTGTCCTATCGAGTTTCTTCATGGCTCGAGTATTCATGAGAATGAAGCTGCTCGGTGATCTGAAGGGTTAAACTGCCTTTTGAGAAGAAATCTGTGGATACTGGATTCGCTCCTGCTAATGACATTTTAAAGACTGTACCAGTCCTCTGATGTGAACTGTAGTGAAAACATAGGAGGCATGTTAAAGCTTGAACTAGAATGTCTTCTTGATTTCAAAGAGACAAGCTTATCACAGTATTTTTCCTGCTGGCCTCTGCCGATGTACCAACGATGTTCAGTGGCATTTTCTTCTTAGTTTTTCATTTCTTAGACAAAATATACTCCATTTCTACAACCGAATAAAGTGATTATTTTTTACAGCCCCCTTAACATTTTTTGGAGATGACATTTGTGACTTTCAAAAATTAATGTAAAATTGGGAAGTGAGATCCCATAAGCTGAGAACTCTGGACAGACAATCAGCTATACCTATGGTGCTTTGCCAGTAAACAGAGTGCATGACAGTATGTTATTTCAGATGTGTCTGCAAGACTGTTTCCTGCACAATAAGATGTATAAAGGAGCAGAAATAAATAATATTTGTGATAAAAAAAAAAAAGGAAGGAAGGAAGGAACAGAACATACAGGACAAATCTAGGAGAATATAAAATGGACTTTCTTAAACCTCTCAGGAAGTCTTGGTTTTATTTTTACACCCTCCGTGTGGGTGGTGTTTCTTAATTTGAAGACAGCTGGGCGATCTGCAGCCTCTTCCCTACACTGAAAGTCTCTGGGGGTAGAAGCTGTAGGCAAAGATACAACTTGAGCTCTGAGTGCCTGCCAACTTCGCTCTGTCTGCTGCAAGGAGCATCCCTGAGCAAACATGCAAGCCCTGTGCAAGATGGTAACATTGGAACCATGTCCACCTCCTCCTGGGCTTGGTTTAACTGTGCTCTCTGGCTAGAGGATCTCAGACTTCCAGGACCAGAAATAATAATTGGGTAACGTGCAACCACAGTCTCAGGAATGGGGGCTGCATTCCCTAGGCCAGCCCCTTCTTTTAAGTTAGGGGGTCCTTGGTACAGCCTGTAGCTTGGAGTCCCAGGCATGAATCCAGCCAGTGTCTCTATGGTATTATTACTGCCATTTTAAAAGAATAAACGGTGCATCGATTAGTGCAAGAATTTGAATTGTTTAAGAGAAAGCAGCCTATTTCGGTAGCAGTGTAGCCTCGTGATCCTAATTTAAAATGTATAATTGATGAATTAATGTAGATCTGCATTTTTAAGCTGGAATCCTACAGAATTCGTATGCCAGAATTAGATTATCTAAGCGAATTTAAGATTCACCATCAACCAAGATGGCCTTAAACACTCCCCTGCAGTTTGAATAAACTTGAGCCTTCTTCTTGACTTTCGATCCTCATCTCCCTTTTCAGAGAACACGTTCTTTAGAGAACTTGGAAGGGTAAATTCTTTCTCTGCCCCTTTGAAGTGGATGGAAATCTCTTTTAAAGGGTGCTTGCCAGTTTTATAACCTAGGAATGTCTTTCTCAAGAACCAAGGAGCTATTCCTTGAAAATATAACCACCATGAAAGAAAACGTTCCCATTTCCCAGTCTCTGGAAGGGGGCAGGTGTCTAACTTCAGTGGGTATCAGCAAACACAGATGGCCTAACCACAGAGAAACACCTTCGCAAACTCAGGGGTAACTCAATGTGCCGCACATGACCCATTGATCAACCAGGCTGCTGAGTCCTTCAGTACTTTTCCACTAACTCACCCCAGCACTTACACATCCTCCAGACTTGCATTTAGCAGAGTTGAGCTCCGATTGGATGATAGCCTCTCTCTTCTTGCAGTAGCCTTAGATAAAGTCTTCCTTGCCTGTTCAACCTCGTACAAATTTTGCTTGGACTCCCTATTTATAAATGACATGTAGGGGTGCCTGGGTGTCTCAGTCGATTAAGCAACTGACTTCAGCTCAGGTCATGATTTCCTGGTTCGTGAGTTCGAGCCCTGCATTGGGCTCTGTGCTGACGGCCCAGAGCCTGGAGCCTGCTTCAGATTCTGTGTCTCCCTCTCTCTCTGCCCCTTCCCTGATTTTTCTCTGTCTCTCAAAAAGAAATAAACATTAAGAAGTTTTTAAAAAATTGCATGCATTACATGTGGAATAATACACACTGGTTTGAATCACAGAAAATCACTAGTATTCAACTGTTTTCTGCCCTGCCAAAAAGGCAATTTCATACAGTTCAACCGAATGCCTGGGTTGGTTTATTAAATCAGACTATTGAAGTTCTTTGAAAAACTATGAAGAATAGAAATTTAAATGCAGCTAAAAATATTTAAACAAGTTTAACTGAGTTTGTAAATGAGAGTTTGGAAGTAATTATTAAAATTTACTAGCTTAAAAATATTGTTTTATTTAAAAAATGTTTTTAATGTTTATTTTTAAAGGACAGAGAGAGAGACAGAGCGTGAATGGGGGAGGGGTAGAAAGAGGCCCACATAGAATCTGAAGGGGCTCCAGGCTCTGAGCTGTCATCACAGAGCCTGATGTGGGGCTTGAACCCCTGAACCGTGAGATCATGACCTAAGCTGAAGTTGAACGCTTAACCAACTGAGCCACCCAGGCACCCGTAAAAAAATATATATGTTTTTTAAAAAGGGGCACCTGGCAGGCGCAGTCAGAAGAAAATACTCATCTCGGGGTTGTGAGTTTGAGCCACACATTGGGTATAGAGATTACTTAAAAATAAATAAATTGGGGCTTCTGGGTGGCTCAGTCGTTTAAGGGTCTGATCTCTTGATTTCAGTTCAGGTCATAATCCCAGGATTGCGGGATCAAGCCCGTGTTGGGCTCCGTGCTGAGCATGGAGTCTGCTTGAGATTCTTTCTTTCTCTCTCTCTCTCTCCCCCTCTCTCTCTCTCTCTGCCCCTCCCTCACTCATGCCCTGTTTCCCTCTGTTTCTCAAAAACGAATAAACGTTAAAAAAAAAAAAAAGAGAGAGGTGCTTCATATTCGGAGGTCCCATTCTACCGTTGTTTAAGATGAGAGGGCTAATTCTGTCTTGTTCCTCCGTCATGGCTGGTAGAGGAAGTCCCCCGTGCTGTGCTTTATTTGGGGGGCCTCTCTGTTGAGGTCTGAGATGCTCACTCTTTTTTGTTCCTGCCCTAAGATAATGACGGCTGATGGAGTCATTCGTTCTAAGTAAAAAAAAAAAAAAAAAAGTGCAGAAGGAAGATTAATAAAAGACTGCCTGCTGATTCCCTCGCAGTGAAGAATAAACCCCACCAGACTAAAATCCTTGTGTGGTATCCATGCAGCCTCCCTGATAAGCAAGGCACAGAGTGAAGTGACCGGAAACTCTCTCACTGAGCATTTAGGATGAGAAACCAGAGTCTTGAGCAGCCAGAATTAGCCTGGATGTAATCAAGTGTGTTCTTTCTCTGAAACACAATGGAAGCCACGTGCAGTCCGAAGGCTGTCCTGCTTCTGCAATCAGCATGAGAGATGGGTGAATGGTTAATGGCATTGAACTGCCAGCTTATTACAGGGAAGAGACTAGTTGATGGGACTGGAAGTGTGTGAAGTCATGGGGTGTCTGGCTGGCTGAGTAGATAGAGCATGTGACTCTTGATCTTGGGCTTGTAAGTTCGAGCCCCACGTTGGGCGTAGAGATTACTTAAAATCTTTAAAAAAAGAAAGAAAGAACGAAAATGCATGAGGTCTGTCATATTCCCTGCATCCATCTCCACTTAAGAGAAAGCCTTTCCCATGGAACAGGAAATATAATCCTGGAAATTTGGTGCCTGTTGCTCGTTCTCCCCAGTACAGCCCTGGGATAGGAAATGCCAGTGTCTGCCACTGTGACTTTCCTTCTGCTGTGCATGTGCGACTTTGCATATCTCTGCTCCGCCAAGTATCTTAAGAGTTGAACTCACAATTTTATTGCCCCCACTGCAAGATCTGTCAGAAGCACCTCTCCATAGCTCTAACTATTGAAGGTCTCCAGAGCATTAATTCTTTGCTGCGTTCCAAGTCTTCTTCTCTTTTACAGAATATCTTGTCTGACTCCAAACTGTCCGACCTCCTTTGTGCCCTGAGGGTATGGCCCTGGCTTCCGCCCCTGGCTGAAGGGGATATTCTATAAGGAATTCCCACCCACAGTGAGTCTTGGGCCACATTCCTTCCAGTCTAATTATTCCAAAATGCTAAGTTCATGGATCCTTTTCATATTTTGGAATGTCACAGTAGATGGCTACATGGAAGACAAGGCGAGTTAGTTTGCTTCTGCAAATTCAACGTGTCTTTGACAACTAGAAGGTGTTTCACAGAGAAAGCTCTGTGAAACCTGTATGGATTAGTTTGCTGGGGCTGCTGGGAGCAAAGTACCACAAGCTGAGGCCACTCTGGAGGCCAGAGTCCAAGATCAAGGCAGGGCTGGGCCCTCCTGAGAGGGCTGGGAAGGAGAATCTGTTCCATCCTGCTGTCCCAGCTTCTGGTGGTTTTGCTGGCAAGCTTTGGCATACCCTAATCTCTGCCTTCACGTTCCATGGCATTGTCTCTGTGTGCTTGCCCTATTAGGTCACACGGCTGTGGCTAAGGCGTCCTCCCATACCCAAAGTTCCAGGGGGAGGCAAACTGACATGGGGTGACACCTTTCCCTGCCACCTGTAATGTGCTCCATGCAGCTACATGAAGCTGCTACGTGATTTAATGGGACCACAAGCCCTGGACCCCGCTGTGTGACTTCAAGTGTCAACATCTCCATCTTCAAAGTGAAGGAAATGAGACAGGTGGCTTCTTAAGGTGCCCCCAGCCTTGCAAAACCAATTCTGGGAGCACTTGGGGAATCGAGTTAGAATCTCCGAATTTAGAGACAAAGTCTATGCTTGGTGTCTGTCCACCAGGAGGCAGTAACCCTCTGTGTTTCCATCCCCCGCCTTTGAACAGATGTCTCACTGTACTTGGTGTCAGTTAATGAAAAAGCAAAATGCAAAAAGAAAGGACGGGATAAGGAATCTCTTGTTAGTTTCCCTCTCAATCCCAAGCTGCTCTAGAATAACAACTTCTAAGTCACGGCCAT